CGTGGAGCTGAAGAAAATTGCTCTCCTTATACTTCCTTTCATATTGAACAGTACCCGTCGAGATTTCGAACAGTCTCTTTTGGGAGTCTCCGGGTGTCTCTCAAGTTCACAGCTCCATCACAAAAAACATGAATCAAAGCGCATGGCTTTGGTTACTCCTTCGGGTGCGCGCTGTGCGCTATCCGGCGACATCTGACACGAGTCGGAATATCCTGCCGCTACTCTTACCACTGACTACCCCGTCTCTTACTACTCCCTCCCTCCCACTGATCTGATACGACCCTTTTCTATGAGGATTCCTCAACTCGCGCTTGATCACATTCACAACTCCGCTCTCTCCCGCCGTGTGTTAGAAATCTTACGAATGATGACCGTGCATGAAATCATTGTGAGCTGCAAGCAATCAGCAGATTCACAACTGGTCTAGCGCCATAAAGGATATTATTACATACCGAGCCTACGCCGCCCTCGTCCGCTACCGTATAAAAGACCCGCGCCAGAGTGAGCAACAGGTTTTTCCCTTCCGTCCGCTGATCAAGACTTGGACACCACTATCGCATCTGCGTCCAATAAAGGAGACCTTCGTCTCAATAAGGGAACCCTCAACTAGAGCTCATCAACACCGGAGTCGACCCTCAATCGCGGCAACTGAGGACGAAGCTACAGACGAGTGCATGGCGTAGTGTTTATTCCTATCGCTGTACAAATATTTGTGGTACTTGTGTTCAGTACCGTTAAATTCAGACCCGTGCGGCACATAGGCGAGCACATTAGGGAAGAGGCACACCAATTTCGGAGACATTCTATCCACAATTCTTGGTGCATCGGCCGGCTGAGTGACTCGAGTGAAGCGTGGTTTGGCATGGTGTCACTAAATGCGTTGCAGCGAACTCGCACATACTAATGCGCCGTTTCAACCATTGCGAAGTTTGAGCGAAGTTCACGGCCGAACCAGGGAACCCTTCCGCATCTTCTCAAGAAATTTCTTTGCTTCTTTCGCTTTTGACGTGCCACTGAGCACCCCACGTTCCCTGAAATCCCTCTAGAACCTGTTGTGATCGCTGCCTTCAGATGAGTTGTTCAAGTATCACCTTATACCTGAGTGTTAGAAAGCCCAAAAGAGTGCGTTTCTTGCTAACTTTGAAGGCTCACAACTTTCTTAGAAAGTAGCAGTTTGAGGGTCCTTATTTATAATCAGCGTTCAGGACTCTATCGATGTGCCTAGGTCTTTTAAAGTTCCATGGAAATTCAAAGCATTTCCTTGTTAGTATCACGGATAAGGTATTTAGAAGGAATCCCCAACTAGATTTTCACCTATTTATTGTGATTCAGTCACTGAGTGTTATCGCAACGCAATCATCACGTCATCACGTACTTTTCAGGCCATTCTTGGGAACCGTTCTGATCATCCCGGTTTCGCTGACTGCCATTTCATCATGCACCCTGTATTTGGTGATAATTCGTCCCTATCGCCAAAGAGCTAAACTGCTCTTCAAACAAGCACTCGGTTATTCGACGTGCACTATGTCACGTGTCAAAGAAGTTCCCCTCTTCAATCGGATATCGCACATTGTTCTTAATGATCAAATACATCATCGAAGGACTGAGAACTGAATGTGTCTTTAAATTAGTGGAATGAAAAAGAAGATGACGTCAAAATGAAATGAGTCCTCCAAACTCATGGATTGTTGCCTCAAGGAATGATTTGCTCACCTCTTGTGGTAGTTGTAAACGGCGTTCTCTACTTCATGACACTGATGACATTGCATTTATATAGTTTTCATGTGAATGAACACCAATCTACTTTCGCCTATCCTGTTTTGTTTATACTGTATTGGTCGAACTATCATCTGCAATTCACATGAAGGACGCATTTCAGGATGTGGTGGGCATGAGAATTCCATGTTCCAACTTCTTATTAATAACTGAAGTGTGGCGGAGGTGTTAGTGACAAGTGGCACGCTCACCACGCGAGCGGTCCGGGATCAAATCCTGGGTCGTGAGTCGCCCGGGCCAACCAAGCCTTCCATCCCTCCGGGGTCGGTTAATTGGTACCAGACTTGTCTGGGAGGATAAAAAACACTGACTTGTACATCGGCTGGCCCCCGCAAGTCATTGTATAGGCCACATCGCATTCACTTCGTGTACAAATGGAAGTAGAATGTGGGGCATCCCAAGGCGGGATTGATCATCGGCAAAAGCTTCATCATTTTTT